GTTTTTCAGCATTGTGTTTTCTAATAGATATCGTTAATTATTTTGCGCTTATATTTCCATTTTATCTTTTTCGCTAGTGACCGACCTTCTAAACTTCGAGAACATTCTGACACCGCCGGACTTGCCCAGGTGCATGTTTTTTTAATAATTTCTTGGTGGTGCGCGAGATTATCCTTCCACCGATTACTGCTACGTGTTTCGACCGCGCACGAGTTGAGGAACTTTGATCGCTAAAGTCAACAAAGTCGCACCTTGACATCAGGGAAGCTGAAGCCATATAAATCCAGTAAGGAAAATGCATACACAGATTCAAACCCTGTAAACCTCATATACCACAAACACGAACCTCAACCTAGGGAATTCTGAATCAAGATAATTTCTATGGGAATCCAGGCAACTTTAGGAGAAGACTATAGTTTGAGGTATTGTAAAAAATTTTGTTGTTCCATAGTTCTTCAATCAGACAAAATTTGCTGTAACTATATTTATTAACAATGGTTAATTATATTCATTTAATAAGCCAGATTAAAATTTCCAAATTCAGTAGCCCAGTAATACCCATTGTTACATGGATCAATCGCAAAAGGTCTGAGATAATAAAATAAACTACAAGACCTTGCAGTTTTAATGCTTTTGTTTACTTAACCTGTAAGGTACTAACAAGGGTCTCTCAGGGACCCCAAGCGTAGTTTTTTTCTTACAGTGTTTCTTAAATTTTTGTTTTGGGTGTTTGTTCGTTCGGCTAATTGTTGTTTTATACATTATTAAGCATCCACTCACTTTACTTTACTTTTTAAGGTAGTCACTGAAGAAAATGACCGTGGGGTCATACAGAGATCCATGTTGGGAACATACGCAATTTTTGTCTCACTCGTTAAATTGGGTATTTTAGTGATGCGCTCTATTACTAGACAGCGATAGATACTTTAGTAATCCGATAAGCTGTTTATTACTTGTGAAACGTTGCCATATTTATTTTAATAAAGGAACTGAAATCTTAAAATATTAATTTTGCGGTTCCTCCTATTTTAAAATCTGATAACTTATCGCTTATCAAAATATGGATTGTACCGACTAGATCAATCGAATCAAACAATTTAAATATTACCTTGTTACTCGCACTCGCAACTAATTTTCATATGCTCTTTGACTTAGAAAATCTGTGTTTATGGTACCTCCATTAATACCGGAAGTCACTTATCGATCCGGTCGATAATAACACTCAAACTTTACTGAGTGGTTGACTACATTGAATTCAGAATTGTTATTTCTGGGGTCAGGTAATATTCAAAATAATATAATTACATACTTTGGTTTAACTATATTAAAAATTTAATAATCTGACATCTAATATGGTGCTGATACAATAATTTATTGTATCAGCACCATATTAGATGTACACTTAAATGAGAGAAGGTTCATAAACTGAACTTCTAATATGATAAAAAGTAAATAATGCAATTACTTCAAAATTAACGGTTAGGGGAAAAGTTAGCGTCGGTTAACGGTATTCGAATTGGAGCTACAGTAATGGCTGGTCTAGCGTGATGGCGTTCCCGGATTTCTCAATATTTACTTTCTTTGGAAAGTGTATTTACAGGTAGTTATCATTTTATTATATCTTGTACTAACAAATTACCATTGATGTCACAATTTGCTAATATTTTGCCTAATTCTCAACTGCATATGTTTCTCCAACATCTCCTTCGGACTGCAGCTCTTTTGTCTTAGCATATACGTGAAGAAGGTCCATTTTCTTCTATTACTTAATCTGGTTTTGTACAGTAATAGACTGACGTGAATATTTATTATTGGCATTTTCACATGTGCCTTTCGTCTTAAATTATGGTAGCCGAGGCCAAAGTAGAGCCGCGCCATTTTGATGTTTTATTTATTTTATTTATTTATTATCCCTCTCTTGTTCTGGGCCCTCAACAGGCTTGCGCTCAATTACAGAGTGATCCGCATAATGCTTTTTAGAGGTGCCTCTGCAGAAGGTCTTTACCTTACGAATTAGGAAAACTGCAGGAAAACCTAATTCGGAGTAGCCGGCAGAATACTCGAAACTGGTCTAAGGTAATTTCCATCCCTGCCACAGATAAAAAATGTACCTCAACCCAGGTTCGAACACCCGACCTCCGGATTTATAACTCAATGTTATTTTATGTACAAGCAATTTATCATTTTAGGAGTTGTTTTGCCTAATTAGATCGTAGTAATGTGTTTTTGTACTGCATTGATTGACCATTTTTTCCACTTGTATTTATGATCTCTTGATTTAACGCATTTTCTTCGATTACCTGATTTGATTTGTCCTGATTAGTGATTTCCACTTGCATTTATGATGCTTTTTGTGCTTCGCTCTGCCTCATTTACTGCACTTGACTCGATTCCTGATTTTTATTGTACCGGGTGACTCAATAAGACAGTTGACTTAGGCGTAAAAAAATTATTGGGTAAATCGGTCATGAAAAATCGCTGGAAAATATTTTCAAGTCCTAAAAATGACCAACAGAGGGCGAACTGCCATCTTAAATTTTAAAATTGCATTTTCTTTCAATTTCGGATAATATAAAAAAAATGTTTTCACATTTTTAAAGAGAACCAGTTTATCTATCATTTTCGTAAAAACAAAAACTCAGTTATTTAAAAAACAAAGATGGCGTGGGGCGTTCAATTGTTTTTGCAATAACCTGCTGTAACTTCTTAAGCGTTTGACCGATTGTAACAAATTTGGTATCGTTGAAAAGAGAAGAGTTTTTGGCGTATAAGAATCCACCAAAATATATTTAATTTAGTTGAATCCTTCTCCGCCAGGGGGCTAGTTTTGACACTATGACCCAAAACCCTAAAAAAATCAAAAAATCTTTGTTTTTTAAATAAGTGAGTTTTTGTTTTTACGAAAATGATAGATAAACTGGTTCTCTTTAAAAATGTGAAAAAAGAATGTTTAGTTTATTAAGTCATTATGTGAAATTTAAAGAAAATGCAATTTTAAAATTTAAGATGGCAGTTACGCCCTCTGGTGGTCATTTTTAGAACTTGACAATATTTTCCAGAAATTCTTCATAAGTCATAATCGATTTACCCAATAATTTTTTTACCCCTAAGTCTAACGACGAACGGTCCTGAGTTATGGCCGAGGAACCGTCTTATTGGGTCACCCGGTACAATAATCTACTTTCACATGTATATTTACTATTGGCATTCCCACATGTAGTTTTCGTGTTAAATTATTGTAGCCGAGTCTGAAACCATTTTGATGTTTTTTATGTACAAGCAATTTATCATTTCACGAGTCGTTTTGCCTAAATTAATCATGAATTTGTTTCATGTGTTTTTGTACTAAATTGAATTATCATGTTTTCCACTTGTATTTATGCTAGCTTTTGCATAGACTCTTACATTTCGTTCTTGTTGATTTAACTGCATTTTATTCGATTATCAAATATGATTGATCGTTATTTTCACTTGCATTTATGATGCTTTGTGTGCTTCGTTCTGCTTCATTTACTGCACTTGACTCGATTCCTGATTTTTATTGTACAATTTGAGATGTTTGATTTTTGTAGTTCTCTCTTGCATTTTGTTGATTTATTTCGTATATTTATGTGGGTTAGGCCATGGTTAGGCCAGGTTTTTTTTCTATAAAAAGTTTCTTGATATCGCCTTTTGTGTGTGTAATATATTTTATTTGTTCTTGTCTTTTCTTGCGCACAGAATTCTGCGTTTTACTTAATTTCCTGCCCGATTATGTCTTACGTCCCAGCATTTAAAAGCACCGATTACACAACGTAGAAGTTAATTCGTGCCATCCTATCGAGTCGATTGGTACCGAAATTCAAAAGTTCCGTAAAATGTCCGTCGCTTCGACATTAATGTTGGATGCCTCTGTTTATATTCCGTTTCCCCAAAGTGTAACTGTCAGTATAGAATAAGTCAACATTGCTGTGCCGGCTTGGGGGAATTTTACAATACTTTCTAATTTGTATCGGCCTTGGGTACCATCGATCTCCACAGAAGCCCTCATGGTCGAGAATTCCCCTAGGCCAAGACTCGTATTCGTGGTGTATGAAGTTTGCAGAACATGCCCATGGTCCAGAATGTATAGATCAGTGATCCACTCAGATTGAATAGATTCACTTGCTACCTTTATACGCTTTCAGCGTTCCTTTGGTCAACATTCGTCTTCGTTGATAATGTATTAAATACGGCTTCAAAGGCCATCAACTTATGCGCGGCTTAGAACATGTAGCGCGTTTCGAGAGAATTTTACTTCGTACGTATTCGTACACCTGTTCTATTTTATAGTTTATCCGATTGTAAATCAAAATGCAGCCCGCACCAAAATTTCTGAGATGAAAACTTTGCGTTCGCGACTGTCTTAAAACAATCTTTACAGTAACATTGTCACAGACGAGCTGTACGCTATTACGGTCTTTGCGCGTTTCCCCAACCTTTTCCTTTCCTGTCATTGTTGTGCGAAAATTTTGAAAATGAAAAACTGAACCAACGCAAAGTTGAAGAATCGCGTCTGTTTATTTTTTCGCAACCTACGCCGGTAAACCTACTGGCGTTCTATTCGCCTGAAGCGGTGCATACGAAATTTTAACTCCATGGTAATACCACCCAAACAAAATTTAAAATTGAAAACATAACATTCTTTGGCACTCTCACAACACAACTCCTTAAATAGGTATGAGTTTATTTAATGTTTGAACTTAATCATAATGAACTTGTATGAAAGTCGAGATCATACGGATGTTGCATATTGTATTGGGATGTAGCATGGCGTCTAAAAAAATCTTGACAAGTCACATCAAAGGTATGGTAATATTTACACTAGCGGTTATATGTAGTAACGTTTGTGAATTTCCCGTAATTTCTTTCGACACTTGCCAAGACGTTTCCCGCCAGCGCATATTTTTTTCAAAGTGTAAAGCACACTCATGTTGCGCTTTTGAGTAAATTGCAGAAAGAGTAATGAAATGCGTCGTTACCTTAATGTGACTGCTACGAACGTGGTGTTGGATCGCAAAAAGTAAAAGGATCGTAAGTACACTCGCTGCCGTCTTTTTCCTCAAGTGGTATTCCATCTGAAAATATAGTGAAATGTTAAGAAAAGTTGCAGACGTCCGTTACAGTTGCTGTAATACATACAAACGAGAAAGAGCTTTTTCAGTTACAGACCACAATTGCTCTTCATAAAATATGAAAGCATCGCCGGTTACAAAACAGTCCGCCGATCCTAATTTAATATTAATAACCCTCTCCGGGAAATGTGTTGTCATTTCTTCAAAGATTGATCTCTATTACGCTTCTCAAATTTTCATAAATCAACGTGACTTTCATCTGTATAAGCAATAAAGCAAAACCTTGTATAAGTAATAAAGCTCCCTCGAGCCGTACGCCGCCGTTTAATGACAATAAGCTAGAAAAGATGAGTTTTTGGCATCGTCAACTCGAAGTAATATTAAAGTTATCGCAATAAAACCGAATTTTATATTATTATTGTAATTACGTGACTCGAATCTACAAAGTAAGCCGAAAACCGTCTATTTACATTATACATCGTTGCGGCGAAACCTTGCTATTATTAAAATTTCACGACGACTTTACGACACTACGAGGTAAAGGCTAATTTAAGGAGAAAATTTTAATTAACGCCGATAAAGAATGGCTTGAGCGAATGACGATAGAAAAGGTTGGCGGGGTGCGCTAAATAGGTAAATTAAAAACAATTTTACGCTCGTTTTTTAAACCTCAGCTTTATGTACGGTCATTAACAAGAATTAGTCACTGCCTTTATTAAACTCAGCAACCACGCCGTAATCTGCAATAAATTTCGGAAGCAATTTTCCTTTCGGTATTCACATGGAAATTGGAAACGAAACTGACGAGGTCGGTGAGAAAAAAGGATATGAGAAAACACGAGTATGCTTATTTAAGTAAGTCGATTTACTCATTTCCTTTAGTGGAGGGGTACTACACTATCATAATAAGAAATGTTATCTGCATGCAAAGAAGATTTTGAGGAATAACGTTTAGTTAAAATTTTTGTTTTAAATGTTGGGTTGGTAGTAGTTAGGTTGGTATGAGTGTGAATGATGTTACGTATAGAAAAAGACGAATTTTTAGTTTATTCTTATTATCAACGATTAATTTCAGTCGAATATGCATTCCACTTATTATTAAATATTAATAGAAAATAAAGATATTATCACAGGTTATGGGCCCAGTCACGAGAAACATAATATTTTTTACTGACGATGAAATTCAAGACGATCATTATGCTAAAATCCATCGAAATGTACGAGATAGCTATTGGAACAAGCTCAAAACCAGATTCAGATGCAAAAGATGAATGGAATGGAAAAGATGCAAAAGCAAAAAGATCGTAGTTGGAATAGACGAGTAGGGTTCTGCGTGGGGCACGTAGGTAGATGCACGTAACTTCAAGAATTTCTTAACACAAGCTTGCATTTACACGATAATATTGTACACCCTGTACATAAAATATCATGAACAAAGTTAGGTTGGTATCCCTGCATGGACTTTATTGTATTCTGTGGTATCACCGAATAGGTGCTTCAAAATTGCCGCGATTGACGGCAGATAAAAGTATTTCAGTGGTACCTGTAATTGTAACAATTAAAATAGTTTGACGGGAATCGGGTAAACTCGGGTTTTGGTTATGAAATCACTACTGGAATAAACGAAAAGCGGATGAATTGTTTTAAATTTTTATACTGTGAATGAGTCTCCCTTTTAAAACAGCGTTCACACGGTCTATAAATAAAATAACGTCCACATCGTTACCTTACAGAGAAAGGAACGAGCAGCCTCGATTAACTTCCGCAAATTCCATTGAAATAACTACAATAATGTTCATTAACACCTGCCACACGAAAAGAAAAAATTTGACATGAAAACTCTATCTGGGTCGCACAATGGATTCGAATCGACACACAATTAATCTATTGACAAAATCCCTGAAAGAAAGAAACGCTTGTTTGGACATATTACCCCGCAAGATGAATATTTCGATGGCTGTTCGGGCGGTAGAAACTTTTAACCTCTAATACGAAAAGAACCTTAACGCCTCGCTTCCTTTTTCAACTTGATAAACCTTTTCCGTAGTCGGGCACGCGTTAAACTTCTCACACAAAGTTTGATGAACCTGCTCCTTCACAGATTGATTATAAAAAATGACAAACTGCGTCTTAATTAAAACAAATAGGGCTAACTGCCTGTAATTTAGCGTAAACAAATGTACACGTTTTTCAACCGTCGCGAATACTAGCAGCAACAGCAGCCCCGTTTACTAGTCGTCTTCAGTATTTAAGGAAACTTCCACCACTAAATAAACTCCTTCTTTAAACAAAAATTCCAAATAACTCACCGGTGACGGAAAGCACAATCTAAAGAACAGAATCAAGGGAGTTATATGGAGCGACAAGGAGTTGGGAAGGCTAAGCTTGCAACGTTGCGACTTATATGCAAAAATTAACGCTATAAATTTGTTGTTTTAGAAAAAGCGGTTGGTCCTATAGTTAAGGGCTATGTGAATTATAAAAGCCAGTATAAGTGAAGAAGATTAGTGCCAACATTCTTCGGCGATAATTAGCAAAGCGGTAATAAGTAGCAATATTAACTCAGGTCTGCGAAATTAAAATCCGAGACGATGGGCCAAGGTTGCCAGTAATAACAGTTTGAACAGCAAAAGGTACTATTTTATACTTTAAATCGTTTACGGTTTGAGCGCGTTATCAGTAAATAAATTAAACTGAATCGCCATCCGTATATCTGCATGCGTCTGAAGGAACGGTTGATTATTTACATTAGTTTGCTTAAAATACCAATAATCGCAAAACTTATTTATGGACGTGCGATACAAGGTTTTTTGTGTCGCAGTAAAAATTGGAAAGAGAAAGTTAAAATGTTCATTTTGAAATTTATATTTCTGCGTACTCATGACCGGGACTGGAGTCATTGACCTCGGATGACTTTCAAAATGGAATATGATACCGCAAAAAATGAGATCATTTGAAGTTTGATAACCTTAAAAATAAAACATGACAACATAATAAATTGCAGTTGATCTTTGATGACCTTGAAAGTAAAGTAGTACACCGCAACAATTAAAATGATTGACATTAGATGACCTTGAAAATAGATCTAAAAATTTCATTGACCTGGGATGACCTTGAAAGTAAACTTTTACACCGCAACAATTGTGGCAATTGACCTCTGACTATCTTGAAAATGGAAAATGACTGCACAAAAAAATGAGATAATTGTCCTTCGTTGACCTTCACAATGGCGTATGGCATCGCAAAAATGGAGGTCATTTAATTTGTATAGCCTTAGGAATTTAATATGGCGCTACAAAAAAAAGGTCTCTAATTACCTTAAAAATTAACTAGGACAACACAAACACGAGTTCACTCATTGAACTCTGATGACCACTGCAAAGAAACTGAGGTCGCTGACCTTTGATAACGTTGAGATGAAATATGACACCTCCGAAAAACTGGACCATTCACCTTGAAAATGAAGTATGACAAAAAATAGAAAAAACAAAATTGACCTCCGGTGACTGAAAGTAAACTATAATATCGCAAGGGAATGGATGTTATTGAACTTGAATAGCCTTCGAAATAAAATATGACTCCTTAAAAGGTCATTGATTTTGAAAATGAGGTCATTGAACTTGGATGACGAAAATAAAATAAGTAAATGAAATTGCAAAAATGTGGTCATTGGCCTTTGCTAACCTTGGAAATCAAATTCGAGTATGACACCACAAAAGTGGGTACATTAGTTTCTTATGACCTTGAATATGACACCGAAAAGAAGTCATTGAGCTTGGATACCCTTAAAAATAAAATGGCACCATAAAAACGTCCTGGAAAAGTGAAATAAGGTACGACAAATAGGTTCATTGAACTTTTATGACCTTGAAAATAATATCGCGTTAAACATGGGATCATTGTCCTTTGAAAGTGGAATATGATCACACAAAAAAATATGGGGGTCATCAACCTCCAATGACCTTGAAAGCGAATGCCCTTGAATTTCACCTCGATCTACTTTCCAAGATCACCGCCACGTGGCACACGACCTTTAAACTTTACCTTGACCTATTTTGCCAAGTCCCTACCAGATGATGAGTGGCCTTGAACGGAGCCAGGTTCGGCCTTGTATATCTACTGTCAGGAAAACCAAGATTTCCAGCCACTATTAATGATGAAAACGTTTATTCAAGCTCAACTGGAGTATATACAAGAAATGAACAAATTATAAGTACCTTCAAGCAATTAGAACGGAGCGAATTCAATTAGTAGAGGCGATCAAGGCCGACAAGAACCAGGAGAAAAAAGAAGCTCAAGGGAAAGAAGAATGTAGCAGTGCATCTGAAGAAGAAAGAAACAATGGAGAGCTTGGAGAAAGTAGGACAGAAACCTGAAGAAATCAGGACCTGACAGGGAAGTGTAGCGGAAATTGCCAATGGAATAGGAGGAGAAGAGAAGTTATCTAAAACACAAGAAGGTATTCAGTTAAGGACAAGAGGAATAATGAGAAGAGGCTACGAAATTGAAAGAAAGAAGGAAAAAAACACCAGAAAATTTTAACAGTATTATAAACTTACACGCAACAACCTCACTCTTGCCCAACCAAACCCATTAAATTATTTTCTCGTTCGAATTTGATTTCGATTCAGTTGGCTCAACAACATGAGGGGGTATTGTAACGGGCGTTTAATATTTTCAATTTAAAGCTGTATTTACTACCTACATTATAAAGGTTCAGATTGTGTCTTTAATGTTATAACTTTAATAATCATATTATGTTAGGTCAAAGTACCCATAGTAAGGGAAGTGAGAATCTAGGAGAAGAATGATAGCACTTGAAAGGTGAAGAGTTCAGCGTTGTTTAATTACTAGGTGCCATTCTGAAGGGACGCTAATTCATTGGCAAAGATAGGTAGGGATTAATCCGGAGAAAAATTTTGGGTTGATTCAGTCACTGACCAAAAATTAATCACGCAGACAGCCACAAAATTCGGTCTGGAGCAGCCAGGGACTGGAA